TCACATAAAACTTGGAAAAGGACAGCAAGACCTACTATAATCACTAAAATTTTTATAACTTATACCGCTTGTGGTATAAGCTAGTAGTGACTCGTGTGACACCGAAAGCGACCTGACATAAACCCTTCTTTTATTACATCGACCGGTTCTCAATGACTTTCTGAATCGTTCGTCCATGTTGTGTTGTTATGTTCAACACACCGCTATATTTTAGCTCAAGGACAAGCGGTACAGAAAATGCTTCGAATCGAGTCTTTTTTTTTTTTAACCCCTTCCCATATAGTAACTAATGTGAGCAACGAACTCGTGTAGGATATTTAACAGTGGGCCTTGTCCTAGTATAATGCTTTCACTGGTTTTTACATAAAACTGTCTTGCTTCCGCTATTATAAAAAAACTATATGCTGAGAGCGGTGTACCGGAGCCTTGTCTTACCTATTTGCGCGGAAAAGATTAAAGAAAATTCGCCCACAGTAAAGGTAATAGCATTGAGGCGCAACAACAAAGATTAAGATGCCAAAATGCGAACGTTAATCAAATTAAATTTATATCATGGCAAATGAAACAAACGTTGAATATCCATTATTAACACATTCAAAATAAATGATGTTATGCTAGTTTTAGTTAAAAAACATTCTTCAAAATATATTCAGAGTTTTACAGTATACGGCATATGGCAGCAGTTTGTTATTGCAATTAAAAAACTATTCACTCGTCCATCTCTAATGTATAAGTTCCACTTGAGCAATTGTAAGGGAAATTGAAAGAAGGTGAATTAAGACCCTATCTTGTGTACTATGGCAAAGAACAATAATAACAAAACAATAAAAGAACTTTAACAGAAAACTGAAAGAGAAAAAAAACAAATACAAAGAAATCAAACAAAAGTTACCAACTTATGTTCATTTATGTGCAGGTAACATAAATACATACATACATACATACATACATACATAAATGCATATATGCACACATTCCAATTTATGTATTCAATGGCAGTGATGATGATGATCATCATTATGATAACCACAATGTTTCGTAAGCTTTCAGAATCCATATGCATGAAGAGTAGACCAAAACGAATGTAATTGTAACTAAAAAATATGAATATGAGAAAAACAACAACAACAACAACAACAACAATACAATATATATATATATATATATATATATATATATATAAAACAAAAAAGAAACAAAAGATATGAACTGATGATTGATAGTTATTAATGCTTTTCGGCTAAGGTTAAATACATATTAATATATATATATATATATATATATGTGTGTGCGTATGCATACACCGCAGGGCAAATCTTCTCCCTTTAACTCACGATTGCGCTAATTTTCAAACATATCCTTGCGAATGAATGTGTTACACGCAGTGTCATCCGCCTGAGTGGCCGAGTAGGCAAGAGCCTCGACTAGCAACTCAATGGTCGTGGGTTCAAATCTCAAATGCGGTAGAGTTTTTAATAAAGCCGAAAGCCTTAGATGCATGCTAGTGCTTTTAAGACTTTAGCCTTAGAATTGATTCTCTGGCTCTAAATTCATAATAAATAATAATAATAATTTGAAGTCTCCTTCATTCATAATAACCTATGCGCACTATCAATTTGAATTTATTATTTATGCTTGCAGACGATAGAAATGTAGAATGAAACAGGTTCTACAACCCTTGATTGACTTGAACGGAAAATTCTTAAATATATCTAAAACTTCGTCCGTGCACTTTAAACCGTGTACATCTGTTGCATGGAGTCAGCAGGCTGATAATGCTGAGCAGTCATATTAAAGAAATTATTTGGTGGGCAAATGTTTTCTTATCCTGCCCTGTCGCTTTGGCACATTTTTAAATACTTTGCCTTGTTGTTATTAATCGGGACTACTACGAACCAGTCGGCAGGAATAACAATTTTGCGTTCCCGAACTCCCCGCAAATACTCCTCCTCTCCTTCGTAAATATGTCCTTTCAACTACTACCTTACACAGATGACTTTACAACATTTTCTGATTTATTTGATTTAGATACTGATCATCTTTGTTCTTTCCATTGAATTGAAAGACTTTTTCAATCATAACTAGGAGATTTTTTTTAGTTTACTAACTTTTTCTATACCTTCAGCACCTAATATAAGTCTGGTGGGTGAAATCGTGGCCATCGCCATGGATCCATATTTCCTTTATTTTTTCTTGTCTATTTGAAGTCCCACAAAGGCAATTAGTCTGAAGTTTTTTTTTTTTTTTTTTTTTTTTTTTTTTTTACATAATGAGCAATGAGTTTCGGACTTTCTCTATATCATTTCTGCGCCAATTTCCAAACCTAGCATTTAAAGGAACAATTCGCCTAAATCGGTCGCTATAAGATATAAGATATTGGCTAGTTGGTTACTTTGCACTATAAAACGTCCCTTCCACCTTCAAATTTTCTACCTCATTCTATTTCCTTGAAGTTTTTAGTTTGGTAGAGTACCGCTTTTGCCATATCGCACATTCTATACTTTACACGCTACAAAATGGCAAAGAAATCGGTACAAAAATTTATAATTGTTTAGTCAAACTCATAATTACTTTAAATTTTTTTATATAGAGTCGTTCTCGGCTCCAACCGCAACCAAGTGCAAGTGCAACTCGTTTTTTTTTGATAATGAAATTTCTTTCACGTATCCTAGAACAGAAATGGGCCACTTTTTGCATTGACGGCCATTTTAAATTTTCATATCACGGCATGGAACAGAACGGGTTGAATTTTGATTAGCAAAAAGATAAAAATTTAAATTTGCGATAAAGATATTTATTAAGGATTAAATTGGGAAAGAATTCCTGACTTGTTATTACATCATAATTGGCACATAATTCGCTAGTAGCTACTCGAAGAACTATTTCTTTGCTTTCCATCTGTTTACAACTTTTTCTTGTACATTTGTAAATAAATATATTTCACGTTCCGACTATTATTAAAAATGCGGCCTTCTGCATCAATGTTTCTTCATTTTGAATCGCTAGTTTTATGAACGAACAGAAGGATTGCTGCACACCTGAGGCAGTACTGAAGGCGTCAGGTATAATCCATTTGTAGCATTACCGTATACGAGCAAATTGAATTGTTTGAAATATTAAACTTAGCGGCCGAGATGCAGCGACATGCCAGGGCAACGGTTACTAAAAGGTTCAAAAAACAAGACATCTTCTATTAAGCTAATTAAAAAAAAAAAAAAAAAATTTTTTCTAAAAAACGCACAATGGCTCCGCCGTTTACTCAGTGTATTTCATTGATTAAGAATATACATTGACTTCGTATCGTCTGTGTAATCCGCATTTTGTACCTATATTATAATACCGTCATGCTTCTGCAATAGGCACTAAACTTGAACATAGAGCAGATTATATGTTCCGTAAAAAATCATTTAATTTAACGATCAATGCGTTATTTATATTGATGCATAAAAGTTTTCGATTCTTTCTTTTTTAATTTTTTTCTGGCCGAATCACATTATTTTTTCAAATTTGGCTATTTTGGACTTTTTACCAGGCGATCAAACATCAGCAAATTAATCAACAATTTTTGCGGATTATATTTTGTCCTTTTACTTTTATATATTTATTTATTTTTTTTTTAATATAATACCTCATAACTCAGATAAAAAAAACTTTTATACGTACCTTGCAAAGTAGATTACGTTTCTTTGCGCAATTACATTACACTTATTATTAAAATTCAAACTTACATTATGATTCTATTATTCTCTTATGCAAATTAAGTAAAAATTTTGTATCAATAAAGTTCTTTTGAAATAATAATTGTTGTTGAGATTCGAATTTTGTTGACCGTGAAACTAAAATGGGCAACAGCAGCAATAATTGTGATATTAATTAATGAAAATAAGTAAATACGCTCTTCCGGATCGAAATTTTCGCTATCATCACTATACGAAGGAACTTTTCAGGTTTGTAAATTTTGAAATGTAATCTGGAAAATAATTTCATAAATTTTTAAGTACTTTTCTAGATATAATAGAGACATGAATTAATTTCAATCGGTTTAATTATAATTAATGAAAAATAAACTTAAGTTTATATTTTGATTTTCTTTTTTCCAAACGATAAATGGAAACGATCCGGAAATTTCTAAAACTCTTGTAATAGATCCTTGGCTTTTCAAGCTGAACATTTTTTTTTTTTTTAAATTTCAAATTTCGAATAATTTATTTCAATTCAATATCGATAAAACACATCCTAACTTAGAATTTAGTAAACTCTTAATTTGTTACGCACATTTAGTGTGCTAATGCACGTTACAAAGGGGCTACGGTTGTACCACAACCGTACAACAATCTACCCTAACTAAAGTGAAGTGTTCTTTACTTAACTTGAAATCCGAGATGCGAAAATGTCCACTCTGTGTAGGAAATTATTTGGTAATTAGGTGAAAATAAAAACTATGTACAACACATACATATATGCTGATATACTCCATACGTCCATACTGCACGGTTATTATGGTATTTTCGTATTTTGTTAGTGAATAAAAATATAGGGGAAGGAGCGTAATCAATCAATCCGTTATAAAAAAAAAATATTTTACGTTAAAATTCGGATTGATGTGTTTTACAAAATGTATTTGAAAAATTAAAATAAGCAAATTTTTTCCAATTAATTTAATGTTGACAACAATAAATAGAAGGAAAAAAGTAAAATAAAATTGAATTCGAAATTGATATTCAACAAAGTATAACAAAAAAAAAAAAAAAAAAAAAAAAAATTAATAAAGCTGAATATCAATCATTATACCGATTAATGAAGTCCAAAAAGTATACATAGAGTGCTTCCAATTCCAATTTTAAGCTAAATGTATTAATTGCCAAAAAAATATAAGTATATATAGTAAGTTTTCGAATACGCTCATAATTGTTATAAAAAGGGTGCTCAACGATTTCAAAATGTATTTACATTAAGCAACGAACATTAATTTCGCAATTCGTTGGTTAACTGATTTTTTCTTTTTTTTTTTTTTGCACATTTTAAATTTAAATTTAAAATTCGACTCCGATGTCGTTTTTTCTACTTAAACGACTTGCTAATATTTTTTGCTCGGGCATAAGTGAAGAACGGAGAATTGAAGAATATTTCAAAATTTGTGCTTAAATATTAATACATACATACAAATATTTAATTTTTACCCTTTACAATTGTAATATTTGCTTTATTTCCACTGTGGGAAATGCGCCAAACTGGCAAGCGGTCGCTCGATGGGGTTTACGACGCAAATATTCATTTAGAATTTCGGCGGCTAATTGATTAGCTCTATTGGATATTTCCGTTTTGGCGAGGGCCTTTATATGCTTGCGTTGTAGTGCTATCGGGGGCTGCACGTTCGTCACTTGACTGCTTGAAGATTTTGGTGGTGTCCTCAATAACGACAGAGCCCAAGCATGTTTCATTTTTGTTAGCTCCGATTCCAATTCTATAATACGTCTTTCTTTTGGCTGAGGGACAAATATTGGATCGAACTTCTTTAATTTTTCTTTAATTTGTTGCGCTTGCAAACGTAGACGTTCAGTGCGCTCAATATTAATGACCTGTTTAAGCAGTTGTAATTCCTCGACTATAAGAGGAGCACTACCACCAACCCCTGCAGAAGCGTACGCGTGGCCGCCACCGCCTGATGGTGTTGTGGCATTGATATACGGTACATCAGTTCTCTTGCCAGTCACAAGTTTAAGTTTCTCCCTCAGGTTCGTCCTTTCATTCTCTAAAGCCTCAATGTCATCTTGTAAATGATCCATAGTCATTTCATAATCTTTTTCTTTTTGTTCTAATTTCACGCGAGCTTCTTCATATTGACGCTTCCATTTCTCAACTGTATGATCGAATTCAGCTTGGAGAACTGAGAGTTTCTTTTCAGCCAAATCCTTACGTATCTGCATTTCGGACAGTTCATTTTGCTTCATTTTGCCGGCCAATTTCAATTGCTTAATATCGGCTTCTCGGTTTTCCAAAGTGGCCGCCAGTATATTTTTTTGTTCTAATTGCTTTTTAATCATTTGTGCTCTCAATATTATGGGCGAGGGTGGTTTCACTTGACGTTGATTAGCGCTGGACATGATTTCATATTCATTGTCTAGTAAATACTGAGCAATTTGCTGTAAATCTGTATTAGCTTGACCAAGAACGCTCTTAAAGTTTTGTGAAGGGCCGCGATCATCTTGTTCATAAATTCTCTCACAAACTTCTGAAAGCAAGTGCCAGAATTTCGTAGGCTCAACGGTATGTTCAGCAGCGGTATCATCTTTAATATTACCTACTATGACAGCCATTGACTGCTTAATGCCTTGATGTAGCGCAGACATAATGCGACTTAAAGCATGTGTCAACTGACGCATGGCATCCAATCTGCGCACTGATATACCGCATTTGGTAATCTGCAAATCTTGGGGCAGTCTTCTCCTAATAAGCTTAACTTGTTGCTTTATAGACTCTACGTTATCTGCTAGAAATTCCATTAATGAAGCGGCATCACTTCTCCCGCTCTCTGCGCTGAGTATAGCTTTAGCGACCGCAGTGTCATTCGAAATTGAGTCACAAGCTGATGCCAGAGCAGCCACACAATCTCGTATCATTTGAGTCTCATTAAGTAAATCCTCACCAGCCAATAGAACAGAATTCATGGCATTAAAGAAAGTTACACATTTTTCAATATTATCAGTGGAGGAATTTTCATCCAACTGATTCGACTTTAATAGTTCTATTATGCCATCAACATTTTTTTCTTGCGCTACCATTTCGGGCAATGAGTTGCCTGCCCTCAATAATGTTTCCGGTTGACAGCTATTTAAGCCATATAGGATTTGATGTAAAGCACATTGCAGATTGTGCACGTAGTGCAAAAGGCGACACTTGAAGGCAAATTGTTGAGCTTTATGATCTTGTAGAATAGAATCTCTGGTGGGATTTTCTACCGCCGGAAATCTTTCACGAGTTTGGCTAATAATAATCCCGCATTTGAATACCAAACGCGATATTAATAAAATCACTAAAATAGAATCGTGATCACCACCACGACTCATGAACGATTCTGGCATAAAAGCGGAAAGCATTTGCACATGTTCGTTGGCCTGACACAATTCATTTTTCCTAAGTTGTACATCGATAGCTCGAGTATATGCTTTAGATTCCGCAAACATTTGCTTGTAATCTATCGTTTCGTTTGAAATCTTCACTTGCATGTCTTGTAAAGACTTTTGTTCAGCTGTCGCTGAAACCTTTTCTCTTTTCAGCTCGGTATTTTCTTCGCTTAGTTTCTGCACAAGTTCGCGGAATTTATTAATAGTTTGCTCGCGATCGTAAATAGTTTCGATCGCGGCATCTCGTTCGCGAAGTACCTCTTTTTTAGAAGCGTGCGCATTATCGAGTTCTTCACGTAAATCCATTTCCAAATCATGATTACTTTCAACTAATTGCTCGTGAACTTCTTCAAGAGCTTCCAGCTCAGCTATGTCGTCCTCCAATAATTTTACTCTATCTTCCAGTTCCATTTTCTTTTCCGCCAATTGTTCAACCATCTCTTCAGCACCTAAAGCCGCATCGACTTGTTCCTGGGCATAGTAAAAATTTAAAGTAATATCCATAAAAAAGGGAATCTCATTCGTTTGCCATATTTCTTAGTTTACCTGTAAGTCAGCTACATTCGATTCGAGCTCATCAATTTTTCCCGATAATTTTTCCTTAGTTCTCTCTAATTCAGCCACTTCCGATCTCTTCATTTCCAATTCTTTCGTAAGCTTTTGTATATCATGTTTGTCATGAGCTGATAGATCACGCAGACGCACTAATGTTTCTTTCAAACGTAAGTTTTGTTGTTCCAATTGCTTGAATTCATATGATGAAATACCACCTTCGGTACTTATAGAGCTTAGAGAATTTTCTGCTTTGTTTTGCATTTCCGATCGTAGAATTTCAAAATCTACTTGCAACTCATCAATGCGTTCCCTGGCTGCATCTAATTCTAATTGTAAAGTGTCTGCCTTTTCTTCAGCCATTTCCTTGTCTAAAGTGATAAGTTCCACGTTGTCAGCTAATTCTGCCATCTCTTGAGCATGTCGTTCTTTAGCCTCGATAGCATCTTTGGTTTCTTGTTTCGCTCGCAATACCTCTTTCTGTAAGCATGCCTGAGCGGCCATGATTTTTGTGCGGAATTCTTGCAATTGCTCGAATTGAATTTTCATTTTATCGAACTCACGCAGACGTTCTTTGTCTTCACTGCGACGTTGTTTCAGAGTTTCCAATTTTTCCGTTAAATCCGTTACTTGAATTTGCAGGTCCTCGATTTGTTTTTTTTGCTCGGTTAATGTAGCTTTCTCCTCGCCATTCAAACCAGGTGATGGAGCGGTAAATGAAGGCGATCGTATGGGTTGTGAGGAAGTAAATTGAGGTTTCAATATTTCCAAGAAGCCAGTCTCTACAAATGAGGCACGTTTCGAGGTATTGCTGTTGTTACTTTCATTGCCAAAGGATGCGGCCGCAGCCAAAGAAGTACTTGAGGCTGAACTCTTATTATCTTTCGTGAGTCCACTGGGCGCGACTGGTTGTTGTATGTTTTTCCTACTAACACTGCTGGCCGTACTACTGCTACGTTCTATTAACGATGTGGAGATTTGCGTACGCGAACCGAGCAGAGACTGACGACTGGAGGAAAGTGAGCCTCTGGACCCGCCCAGCCTGGCTTTAGTGGGTTGGGGAGCAGTATGCTTTGGAGTATCGCCTGTCAAACTGACATCCTCGATTGACTTGCGACTATCTGGTGCCGGACAGACTACTTTCAATTGAGTGGGTCTCACAAACATACCGTAGCTGTCCGGGCATTCGAAATATGCTTGGCCCCTAATAGTACCATTATTTCTACCCTGAGGTTCATCTAAAACCACCCCCACCCACTTGCCAACAGCAAAACCGGTCATACCCACGTAGGCTACAGTTCCTTGCAATTGTCTGCCAGTTAGCTCGACACGCGCACCCACTTTTATATTTTTTTCCGACATTTTTACACCACTTTCTTAGCGTCCTGCTCAAAGCAACACACAAACCTAAGGGAGCAGAAAAAGGAAAATAGAAATTTTAAAAGAATTTTTCTTTAAACTAACCAAATTAAATATTCGATATTAACACTAAATTAATTTAGGGCGAGAAAATTAGTCACTTCTGATGATGCTGTAGTTGCAGCACGACTACTAACCGTTTCGATGAAATACGATTACTGCGTTTTACTTTTAGGTGTAAGATTATTGCCGCAAATCTGATAATATAATCAAGAGCCTGCAGCTAATGAACGTCTTCTGGATACCTTGGTTTTTAATTCTCACTTTGCAAATTATACTAAAACGAAAATGAAGAAAAGTTTTCTAAATAAAATTAACGCAGATAAATGGAAAGAATTTCTCAGATAAGGAGGAGCTTCCATCGATTACTAGAACATTGCTGTTATCGCAAGGCATATCGATAAGCGGAAAGTCGAAACTATTTTGCAATTAAATGTTCATTTAGTGTCTTTTGCCTTTACATCTTCATAAATGGGGATAAATAGTCGCAGTGAGTAAACAGCCCAGTACACAACTTAATTTGGGGATAAATATATCAATATATTAACTGTATTTTTACATTACCGAACCCACGACTTGTTTTACAATCGAAACATATACCTCCGTTTGATAATTTAACAAATTTTTTTTGCATGCAAAAATAACAAACCTGACAACATGAAACATTACCGTGTTGAGGGCAGTTAAGTTAAGAGAAAAAATAAGAAAAGCATTGCATGAAAACTGGTCCAATAGAAATTCCAAATAACAGATTTTCGTTTCTTCCTTTTATTTAAGACAAAATAACCATTTGTCTCCTCTTAGAATTAGACAAAAAAAGGCTGACGCAGTAACGCGTGATTGTATCTTTCGGGTTATTAACGACTTGAAATACAATAAAGCATAATTGCGTTATCCAGGTATTCAAATTTTAAATGGTAAAATTAATGAGAGCCACGTTACCATATTATTTCATATCAAAAATAAAAAAATTTATGTAAATGAAGTCAGCTACTTAGGAGCGACGCAATGAGGGGTTAGTGATATTTGCCCGTTAGGGTTTCAACTTTGCCGACTCTTTAGAAAAGCTTATGGGAATTGACAGGTCATATGGTTTTGCATGTATCACACAAAAAGAAAAGCACAAGAAGAAATGACGATCATTTCTTTTTGTGTATTAATTAATTCGTAATTTGAAAATTACCGCTTATGACCCTCTAACACATCAATTTCAACTTTAAATAAATGTTCTTTGTTGCTAGTTTAAACCCAAATTGCAAATTATATAATACAAAAAAGAAGAAATGCATTAGTAAGTTTTTGCAAAAAGTCCCAAACTGGAAATCGGAATAACGCCTGCGTGTATCAGCCCCCATACAGTAGTGTTAGGTATTGTGCAAATTATATGCGAATGTTAAGTGTTTAGTAGATCGCAGTTCAAAAACGTCTCTCAACAATTTTATTATTCATGAGATAAGTCTTCTTTTCATTTTAAAAACTGCCAAATTTATAAAATAAAATGCATACTGCTTGCAAGGAGTCATGAGCTCATTGAAATTTACGTCCTTTAGAATGTATATATTTTGGTATATTATCTTGCATGATTTCTCACAACAAGGAATTCTAAACGCACTCACTGTTAAAAGTCCAACACTAGTGCGATGCAGTAATACTAAACGCGACTAAGCCTTTTGCTTCAGATTAGGGCCTATCTATAACGAATTCACCATTTATTAACAGAAATTCCTCTCTTGAAAGCGACAAAATTATTCCACTTCCTTATGACTAACTCTCTGACCTGGTAGCGTTTGTGTAAAATTTTTCATTATTTTCTTTGAGTGTTACTTGAGATTTTCTGAAAACTGAAACGAAACTTGCATTATGTGTTATCGAAAGAGCCGCTATCGATTTCTGCCATATGGATTGATTTGATTTAAACGCGAATAAATAGATAATATCAAGTGTTTGTTTTGTAAAATTGTGTTCTACTGCAATTTTTTTCTGTACAAAAAAATGTTTTCAGAAGACAATTTGCATTGTTTCGGGACATCATTGCCACTTCTCGAACTAGGTTGGTTTGAAATAGGCTATATTTTAATCAAAATTAAAAATAAATATTACTCTCAGATCAGGTTCCATCCAAAAAACCACTTCATGTGCAAGATCAAATAGTCACCGATGATCAAGGAAAAAGACGTTTTCATGGCGCCTTTACGGGGGGTTTCAGTGCCGGCTATTGGAATACCGTCGGATCCAAAGAGGGCTGGACACCTCGCAGTTTTAAAAGTTCGCGCAACGAAAAAGCAACTGAGCGTTTTAATCAATGTCCAGAAGATTTTATGGATGAAGAAGATCGTGGTGAGTTCGGCATTGCTCCAAGGGGCTTGAAAATTAGTGAAGATTATACTATTGTGGAACAAGAACATACTCGAAAGCGAAAATATTTGGAACAAAGTATAACTCCAATACCCGGTGAACCCGTTTTGTATCATTTAATTAAATCCGTCAGAGATAAAGTGTCCGTGCGTATATTAAAAGCGTGGGGATGGCGGCCCGGTCAAGGCATAGGACCAAGGCAAACTCGCCAAGCAAAAAGAAGAGATCGTGAAAGGTATAAACGTGAACAATATCTTTTAGAAAGATATGGCTGTGAGTTGCCGGGTACTAGCAAAGCATCATTAAAAGATGAAAATTTTAATGCAGGCAGCGAGGAGGAGGATGTTAGTGATGCAGATGATGATGATGATAATGATGAAATTACTTTTGCCCCAGAGGATTACGATATGCCTCCTTGCGTTTCTAAGGAAGATCGTTATGGCCTGAATTATGTACCGTTAAGTAGAAATTCAATCTTGGGGGACTCCGCTAGAGATACTGTCGTTAACAAATCCCGAGAGCAGTTAAATACTTCCAAGACCTTGCAGGTATGGAGTAAAACGAACAAAAAGATATCCTTTACTGGTCAAGCGTTCGGTATCGGAGCATTTGAAGACGATGACGATGAGGATGTTTTTGCCGCAGAAGATTTGACACGTTACGATTTTGCTTTAGAGGATAAACAACAAAATAAAAGAGCTGCCCAAAAATCCAAGGAAGCAAAAGATTTTGTATTTCAAGAATTTGCGCTAGAGAGAACTGCCAAACAATCTTTGGTATACGAAATTAAAATACCGTTTGGTTGGCAACCAAGGAATTGGCTACAGCGTCGCAGCCGATTTGAACCTTTAGATCCCCGAAAGGTCAGGCAATTGGATAGGAAAATTGAGCAATTCACAGGAAGTGAAATAACAAGAAGTCAACGGTCACAACTGCTTGGCGAAGAAATAAAAGATCCTGACCACTCTGGAATTTCATCGCAAGGAAAACGAGAACCTTCCTTGATAGAAATGCAGCAAATGTTTAAAGAAAGACAGAAGAAAACCGACGTTTTACTAGAAAAGATTTCTTTAAAGTCCAATTGTTTTACGACGGGAGGAGTTATCAATGTTGATGGTGAAGAATCGACAATCAAACAAAATGAGCAAAGCGAATTCTCTGGCACCTTCAAGCCATTCCTTAATGGCTCTAAAAAACAAGAGAGATATGAAAAATTTTTAGCAGCCAACATAAGCGACGAAAAAGAAATTTCGCTGTTCCTTAACAACATCCAACCGGTAGAATTGTCGTTGTGGGACAGGCAAACGGAATTAAGGGAATTTATACAAGCAAGAAAACTATATAGGCCTCTGCAGGGCCTTATGTCTGACAGGTACGATATAAATATATATAATATAAATGCTGACATAGAAGAGAAGTTGACATGTTTACCATTTTCAGGTTTGTCTCTGAAGCCGAACTGGTTACCAAACAGAAAGTCTCCGAGTGTGCTGAAAACAATTCAAACCGTATCAATGTGGAAAGGATTAAAGTGATGTGGAAGCCACATGCCCTACTTTGCAAACGTTATAACATCGCTGAGCCCTTTGGAGGTCTTATGGAAGACCAGAAAAGGCCAAAGAAAAAGACTAAGCTATCTATATTTAACTATCTGGAAACGAGTATTAATAGAAAGGAAGATTTTCAAACACCTGTAATAGTATCGAAACCTATAGCGGTGTCTGTGATACAGCCAATAGAAGAAATAAACCGAACAATAGAACAAGAAAATGCAATTGCTGAGGTAAACTCTTTCGAAACGTTGCAAAAAAAGCTTACCACAAAATCTTTTACACCAAAGACGGATTTGGAAAAGGAAGTCATTGAGGGTTTAAATAAATCCGTAATTGAGAAAAAGGAACTTTTCAAGTCGATTTTTTCTGACAGTGACTCAGACGAAGAATCAAATGTAAAAGAAAGACAAGACAAAGCTAACGAAGACTCAAAAGCAAATTCGGCTCCATTAGTAGCCAACCTGCTTAGAAACACTTCGCCGCCTAGAGGCATATTTAAAGCTCTGTTTGCTGCTCCTGAAAAAGGCGCTAACAATAATACTAAGGAGCCGAATGATATTCATAAAGATTGTTTCCAAGCGGAAAAAATTCAGTTTAAAGCAAAAGCCACCAAGGCATCGAGTAGTAAATTAGAAGAAGATTCCAACACATATGGTCCAGCTTTGCCTACGCAATTAAATAAAAATGAATTAGCCACCGAAAATTGTACGGAGTTTTTAAGTGAAACATTGGATGCTAAATTATTGGATATATTTAATAAACAAAAAATAATTTCCAATACGCAGACGGGCGAAATATGGATTGAAAAATCAAAATCTTTACAAAGCTCGGACGATGTGACTGATAGCAGCAGCGCGAGCAGCGATGGCACTGATAGTAGTGTAGGCAAGGAAGGCGGCCAAAAGAATAAAAGAAAGAAGATGAAAAAGTCGAAAAAGAAAAACTTGTTGGAGACCAAGCATAGAAAACATAAAAGCCATAAGGTTCATAAAAAGACAAAGAAGCATGGTAAAAAGAAAAAGAGTCATAAAAAGAATAAATATTGATGCCATACCTAAGATAATTTCAATTTCATTTTCGATTTAACTTTTATATTATATTTGCATAAAAATTTTTCTAATGATCTGTATTATTTTTTTTAAAAATGTACCTTCGTGGGTTATATCTTGTTCTATTTTATTGCTTGCCTTGATCGCATGTGATAACAAATAAGGTTTTTCCGTTATGCGCGATTCATAATACGCGCTGTTTTCAAAAGTGCAAAGTTATGGAAACAGATGTTTTAAAATGTAATTTTGTTTTGTTTTTTTTTTTTTTTTTTCAGTTTTAATAATAGAAAGGGTTAACACATTCGTGAGTAATGACTTTTTTTATTTTTATTTTATTTTATTTTTTTTTTTTTCGAATCTCAAAAGAGCGAAGAGAGAAGTCAATGGTTAAAATTTTAAAGTTGGATCGATCGTTTAAATAAAGTGTGAATGGAGTTGAAAAGACCAAAACATTTAAATGTACATAACTATTAGTGAGTAAAATATTAACGATCTCACTACCATTATATAAAAAAGCAGAGAGTGTGTTTGAATTTAGCTTCTAGCTAAGCTTATTTGCTGGCTTTTGGTTTAAGTTTCAGGTGTCTTGGGCTTGTAAGAGAACGAAATATTAAAAAAAATGAACGAAAAAAAAAAGAACAAAAGAAGAAGAAAGACTGTTGTGAGAGTTTTACCTGGTAAATCAGTCGCAAATTACGTGTTTGTACGTACAGGTCGAAATGTCTGACGAATCGTGATAAAATACGTTAGTGTAACGTACAATTATTGCATATTGCAATAAATATGAAGAAAAATATTACAATTTTTTTTTTTTTTTTCACTTAACAATCAACATAGTTACTTAATGGTTTTTTAAATAAATTGAATTTTCAAAAAACAAAAAAATTGGAAAAAAATTTGCATTAATGTTGAAAGTAGAAAATTTTTGGAAAAAAAATTAAATAAATTGAGAAAGCATCGTTCGCAATAGCATATACGTATAAAAACAGGAAATATGTATAAATAAAATTTCTAGCTCATAAAATAATAGGCTCAGGCAGAGCAAGTTCAAAATTGCAGAGTGAAAAAAGTGAAAATCAATTATTTAATTAACCAGTTGGCAATTTTTCTGTATGGTATTTGTGGCCAACGCAGACATATACAAGTGCATAAAGCAAGTGCTGGCTTGTTTCGCTTTAACCAATAACTTGCATTAGAAATCCAAGGTAGTAGGAGAGACTAAAATTAGAATAATTACTTAGCACTTATTTATTTATTTAAATGATCGATATTTTTCTTTTAATATTTACTTTTCTTTTATAATTCATTCAATACCATATGTATTTTCGATACTTAAATGCATAAAAAAAATAAGCTTTCGTGAAAATGCATTTCACATAAACATAACATAAAAAAAAGGCAAAAAAAAAAAACATTAAAATAATAGCTATAGAAAATAACAACAACAACAACAACAACGGTAGCAACAATAGGAGACTAAATTACGGTTGTATACGGAAAGCGAAAAGAAGAAGAAAAGAAGAGAATAAACGATCTAATAAGATGAAAACGAGAAGAAAAAGAAGAGAAATGCCTTAAGCAAAAACATTAAAAATGTAAACAACAACCGCATATATAAAGTAAAATAAGAGAATTAATTTTGAGGAGGAGAATGCTCCGAAAGAGAGAAATCGAAAAAAAAGAGCGATTATGCGAAAACTACTGTTTTTGAATGACGTTTTAGCAACAACAGGTTTTCGTTTATTTTATTTATGCATTTATTTTCATTCCCCCGCAGAATATGATTCGACTCTTGTTCTATGGTTAATAAAAATTACAAAAAATTCGTTTTTGAGGCCTTTATATCCACCACTGTAAGATGGGGGCATACTGATTTTCCTTTTTTCACATAACGTGGAAGAAAAGCCCATAAACGGAAAGGAAGCTTCAGAGACGCTATAAATTATCTATATTCTTGATCATTGTGGAATTCTAAATTGATTTAGCTATTTCTGTCCGTCGGTATCTTTGTGCGGTGTTTGTTGTTTGTTGTCTTCTGTTCGTAGAAATGAAGATATCGACTTCAAATTTGGTAGAATCATTGGAAGTTTATCGCCGCGGATTGGTATTAAAAGTGAGCCAAATTGGTCACAACAGAAGACCACAGCGTAGTGTAAAATGAACGCAACTTTGGTCCTTTTTAACAAAAATTCTTTCGTTTTTGCTCCTTATTATTAATTAGAAGGAAGAAGAAGAAATTTTAAAAATTTACTTTGTGAAACTCTTCTACTTTTTACGTGTAAAAATTGGAAAAAATCGGCCACGCCTACATAAAATTACAAGCGATTAAATAACCTTTTTCCACTTTTTTGAAGTTTTATGCTTATTTACTATAACGTAAACAAGATAGAATGTTAAAAATTATTTTGTGCATTTCTCAAATGAAGATATATTATCTGCCCAATAATGGGTTAATTTTGAAATGAATATGGTAGACATCGCGACCTGATGGATTAATTTTTTCTTAATAATACCAGCGATGTGTAGGAATCAAATAAAAGAACTTGGACAGTAGAGATGCGAAAAGCTTAGCGATGGGTTTGCGAGATTCGGCCCTAGCCGAATATAACGTTCGTACTTGTTTTTTTTATAAAAAAGTCTTTGCAATTTAATTATTTGGATTGATTTTTTTGAATTTTTTTATAGTAATATTTTGACTTTATTCCTCTTGACCTTTCTCTCGAATCCCGAACAGAAGTGCATAGGCATATGTGTCGAATTAAGATAACAAACAGTACGCGCTGTTGAAAACCAAAAACTTGGTTTAGAATCAATTATTATTTATCTAAATTAGTTTACTATCTTCATTTGCATAATATTTAATATTTACGATTTCTATTTTTCCGCCTCCACCTGCGAAACTTTATGTTTTACTGATCCACAATCAGCGTAAGAGTTTTTAAGTTATCTTATTTGTATAAATTCGTTGAAATAAATTAAATTTTATGTTTTGGGCATATGTATTATGTTGGTGATTTTGGCTTGGTTTCGTTATATGAGAAAAGTATGACATTTACAATATTTAATATGGGATGGGATAACATTTTTATTTTTGATACATTACATAAAATTATAAGTTCACTTGTGCGGCGCATATGTATTAGTAAAATTGTGAATTTGTACATGGCCCTGCCAATTATGTCTTTTTGAATCAAATTTCATACTTCCAAGAATAAAAAATTGCATATCTTTTATAGTATGTTGAATGTTAACAGAAGAAGAAGAAGAAGAAGAAAAAAGATAGAACAAAAATATTTCCCTCTTTTCCGCCCAATAGTAGTGTAATTACTTGGTAACTGATCATTTTAAAGCCAATTTTTATTTATACCTATATTTTTATAATTGATTTAGTTATAGTTTTAAAAATTCTATGAATATTTTTAGTAGATATGCAAGAATATAAAATCGATTTTGAAAAAATTTTCTTTGTTCCACATTGCCCTAAAATAAAATGTTATTTCACTTTTTTCAGATTTATCTTATTAGTGTGCATCAGTAAAGTATTTTTTGCACTCCTTTAAGACTCCTAAGCTCTTGGCTGCGTGTTTCGACACTTCGAACATATGTTCTGTTCAACGGATATCGTTTTGTATCACAACATCAAGAGTTGCCGATTTTTCTACAATCACCTCACCAGAGGGGAGGGGTGGTTGTTTGTCACTTTCTTTATACGTTAAGTTTTGAGAAAACATTAAAATTTACGTGATCGTGCTCTATTACGACGAATTCATGAAGAATAGACCGTTATTGTGCCACTGATTATTACGAATCTCGGTGTTGTCGCTTAGTCTCTTGCTAATAGAGAATAAATGATGCTAGGAACTGTGATACGCAAATGAATAAATAGGGTTTTCTGTCACGCGTAGAACGTGATTGATGAATACGAGAAAAAAGTGAGAAGAGAGAACATTGAGCCATAAGCGTATAGAATTCGTGAACTGACTTCATACATTCAGTTTCCATCCGCATTCTTTGAAATGTGGATCTAGTTGATATTTTATGGGACATTATATATTTTGGATTATCCAGTGTTAGTCAAGTTTCTGAGAACGCCGCCAACATGTCCGACGACAGCGAACAAACAGATGGTCGCAAAAACGAAATCAATTGTTTTTTATGCCTTCTAAGTAGCGCTCTGTTGAATTCCAAACCAGGTGACCAGGTTGGTGTACCATTCATGTTTACCTCTATAAATGAACAAATTTTTTTCCTTTCCGTATATCTTTCACTTGTACACGATTGTTCTTTTAATCTTCGTATCTTTTATGAAGTCTTAATAAACCGAAAGATCTGTGCACGTGTACATATATACAAATACACAATAAGTTAATGCCAATTTTTTATTAAAAATTTATTTTAATGTACAAAAATGGAAGTAAAAGCAAAATCAAATGGAACGGCCTCCAACTACCTGTTGTGAATAAGTTTGTTAATTTGTGTTATGTTCAGTTTTGAAAAAAAAAACATCACACGCACAGAAATGTTCATGGGTAAAACAAAACATTAAAGCATTTTATTATGTCTTCGACGGCATTTTTAGTAAACGAAAGACATACAGATACAATACAAAAAACGAAGAATAGAAAATGATTTATACTCACATACGTGCGTGTACGTTCGCTTATTTACAAAGAGACCACTCGAATAGACGCATTCATAAACTCGGAGACGAACAGCAAAGATATAATTAATCAAGCGTAGAGTGGAGCAAGAAGAAAAAAAAAAAAAAACAGTTTTTTGTTTGACGGTCATTGAGTTTTTCGCGTAACAACGCCATACATACTGGCGGATAGTTGCACACAACTATATGTGTAACGTGTATTTTTATCATAAACGCGAGTCTATTTACTTACCAACTTCACTTTATATTATTCGTTTTACAATTTATAATTTGCACAATACATAGCAGATAAACACATACAAATACACGTGTAAACCGTCACAACAATGGAAGAGCGAGAGCTTGAAATCAATTATGTCCAGTTTTTTTAATATCATAAAAGTAAATATTTTGAAATTCTTATTCCACCGCGACACGACCCTTTACGATTCATTCAAATATAGTCCAAACAGAGAAGTTTAAGATATATGTATGTAAATTCTTTTTCAACTTTTAGGCAAAATTTCTTGCACAAAATATTATAGTTCCTTCATATCAGTTTTATTATTATTATTATTATTATTATTATAAATATAGCCAGAGAATAAATTCTAAGACTGAAGTCTTAAAAGCACTACCGCACTTGAGATTTGAAACCCACGACCTTTGAGCTGTTAGTCGAGACCCTTGCCTACTCGGCCACTTAGGCGGATTCAGTTTTATACCTTTTATTAAAGTACATTTCCAATATATTCCTTAATAATTACTTTTACTCTTGTTTATTATTACCATGGATAAGTTTTTTAAGCAACTCGACTTTAACTAACTTAAGTAAATGATTCCTCGAAGAACTTATATGTCATCTATATAGCGATAAAGACATACACATGTATGTGATAATGTTGCAAAACTAATAGATTATACATTTTTACTATTTACTGTGCAATTTTTCGATTGAATAGTAAAAACTTGCTCAGCATGCTTAGTTTGAGTCTTTCAATAGAAGAGGGATGCTTGACAGTGAATTCGGTAAAAACCATAAATAGCGCACTTGATGTGAAAGATGGTCGTGTGCTCTCAGGTGCAAATTGTAAAGCGGAGCCTACATGAGTTATATGAAAAGCGCAAAAGAAAAGGATTTTAACCGAGTTCCAAAGTGTTATGGCAATTGATGTTGTGTTGAGCAAGAACCGGAAGAGAAGTTACTTCAAGCTCAGCTAGTGGAAAGCAAATAGACAAAATATGGGGAAAAATATCTTTCCGCCTAATAATAGCCTTGTTTTAGTTTGATATACGAATTAAAATGATGTCCGTTAGCTTCGATAAACTGATTATAATGAGAACCATCATGCACCTCATCAATCCAAGAGCCCACCTCTTTATTGTTGATAATTGTTATTTTCTCAAGTTTAAAAAGAGACGGCATTTCGAGCTAATCTTCCCTACTGAATAGATTCGATAAGGAAGCGAATCTAACTTTAAATTTTGGATTTTTGACATCGTGATAGCGGATACACGCCTTGTTTAAACTTTGCCCTTTGTTATTTTGTTATTGTAAACGAAACACCAGACTCCTTCCGAAGTAGCATCTTGGCCGGCTATGCTATTGGTTGCTTTAAAAGTGTTGTACTACATAACAATGATGCACTTCTTCTATACGTAATTCACCGACAGGATATTGATGCCTTTTTTACAAATATCAAGCGGTTTAGTGGCTTTAAAATTCGGACTTAAGCTTTATAAGAGCGGCACTTTCGACAATAGTAATTTTTTTTAAATGGCAACTCCTGTATGTATATCTACTGTAGTGTTTATGAGTTTTAAAAAACAGAGGTGTTTTCAGTTCACGTGGCACTGCACTCGTGTCCCTGAAAGATATTCCAATGTTTTTGCTAAATTTGAACCAGAAAAATGTTTCGAACAGACATCAGACCGGCGGACCGACGGACAGATGGCCATGCTTAAATCGATTCAGAATTTTATCCTGATCAAGAATATATATTCTTTTTGGGGACTATGAAGCGTTGCGTTCCGGGCGTTGCAAACGTTTTGAAAAAATGAATGTCCCTCTTATGCTGAGATGATGAATATTCAAATTTGAACGTATGCTCAGTCTTTACATATAATTCCGTACGCTACCACGAAAATGGACGAATGACTGCATTAGGTGAAATATGGTTGAGAGTATAATGTTAGGCCTTGCCTGACTATCCTACTCTTACTTGTTCTAAAGTAGTAAACCTGTTGGAATTGCACGAGATGGAGTAAAAATATTTTTATCCACCATTCAAATTGCTTGCTTTCATCTTAATTAATAATAATAATGCGGTACGAATAGCTAGCTGTACATGAAACATCGGCATCGGGATTAAACGGATTAATCAGTCATAATCCATTAATTCTTGAATATATTCTTTCTGAAATTTAACACATTTCTTTCAACGATTTTCAGCCAGTTTATCATATCTTCGCAGTGATTTTCAGAAGACGGATTTTAAATGTAGATTTTTAACTAACTTTTTCATTGTACGAAAAATGTTTGACTATATAGGACTTTATAAAGGTTTGAGAAGAGAGGAAAATTATAAAACTTGTCTAGAAAAGGACCGATGAAGTTCATGGATGGCAACGCCATCCATATATCATTATGCAAACTTTTTGAATTAGTTAATGATGACATACATTAGGAGTCATGCTAATCTTCTTTATATCGTTCCAGTTTTAATATATATTCTGCCATATTAAGGCATTTGTTGTTGATTGGCTGCTTCACAGAAGAAGAAGATATATATTAAGATGAAACTGAACGTACAGTTTTTTATTTTCTGCTTACATAATAAGCAATAGAGGGCCCGAAATATAAGCATTAAAGAACGTATTTAAAAAAAAAGTATTGCACAAATGTAAATATCTCGAAGAAGATCAAGTGGATGAGGTAGAGGGCTCGCGATTAAAAAAAAAGTTCCACCAAAACTGTGGGAATATCTTGAAGGTGTAACATCAAGAACGAAAAGGTTAGGAGAGAAAACGAGGCGTTATTATAGAGAAAGTATTGCAAAGTTCTGCGAAAGTTGAAAGCGGTCCAAGGCTATCCACGTTGAGATCGATTTGGGGCTACCGCACACTTTCAACGGCAGCGGCAGCGGCAGCGGTCGTGGCTTGCGAACTACTATTGAAGCAGCATTTATGTATTCATAGCAGCAAAAAGGAAAAAACTACTGGCGAAGGTAATTACATCTACAGTCTGCAGAATTAAGAGTCCTATCCGGTAGAAAATGGTAGTAACGATGGGACACCGACTCGAAAAGAATATATATCTACGCCCTCATACCAAACGTAGAACATTAGGTGGGGAGGAAACAGGGAGAAGTTAATTTCTTCTTTTTCACTGATCATGGAAATTTTTCGAACTTTTTGCACCGTTTCAAATTAAGAGCAGATAACGAGCGCAGCCTGTGCTAAGCAGTAAACGACGATGCGCAGCACATTGTTTTCGTCGGTTTCGCTTGAACATGTTTAAAAAGCAAGCTTCTCAGATCTCTGGAGTTAAAAACTACGCTAGGTAACCTGCTAGCGTTCATGTTAATGGACGTCGAAAGATGGAAGAAATGCGTCGATTTTTTCCAAGACATGCTTCGGTGTAAATCTACACGAACGCGACATTCCAAACTCTAACCTCAGGTGAGGATAGCGGAGGTGGGGTTGTATAGTGAGAAACCAAGTATCCATTACGGTTCATCTCGTGGAAATGCGAATGTGAGGAGGGGAAGGCTTTGATCTCAGTACATGGCCACTGCTTGGCAGTACGCTGCCACTACGTCCGCCCTAAAAAAGAAAAAAAAAACATTAAGCAGCATTAACTTCTCGCTTAGAAAGTTCGTCAATGTTTACTCGCACGCACTCACACACACATACACACACACACACACAAAATGTAGTGTATTCAAAGTCCTCAACATAAATTATTCAAAGCTTTCGCATTTGTTTGATATTTCGACGATTGCTAAATATTGTCATTTTTACCGTTGTTGCAATTCATATTACCGTTGCCATTGTTGTTGCTCTCTTGCAAATTTTTACCATTTCAGTGCTACACAAACAACAAAGTAACTATGTAGGTATTGTATATGCTTTCATGTTGGCGGTTGAAGTTGTGGTTGTTGATATTGCTATTTTGTGGTTTAATATTTGTTATGAATTTTAATCAAAAAAGTAAAAACAAAGCATTAAACTGTGAACAGCCTCTAAATACCAAACATACCATCGCATGCCAATGTTATTATGTATGTGCGTACTTTATTTTTTTCTTTTTTCTCTTTTTTCATAATAATAAGAAAAATTTTCTTTACTATAATGTTAATGTGAATACAAAATGAGGTAAAAAAAAAAAAAAAAGAAACCCAACAAAATGTAGTAACAATAGCAATAAAAATTCAAAAGTAAAGTAAAATTAAATATTAAATTATTACAATAAATTGTCTTTCTTTAACAATATTAATAGTGTTTGCATTGAATCTGCATTTTTATTGCCGGTATTATTGTTAAATTTAAATCAACTAAACAGCAACAATGCTAACGCTTTGGCTTGCGCAATCAACTGACTTCAGTGTACAGTATCCGGATTTGTTCTCATTAAACTTCCCACTTCTAAAGCAATAATGACACAAAATGCCGCCGATAGTTTGGTAAGTACTCATGTTTTCATATTTACATCTAGCCATCGTAATATGGAGATCGGTTTACTAGTTTTTTATCTACCATCAAAATCTGTTGCTTTATATCACCCCGAAATAGGCCCAAGAAACCACCTAAAGTGAACACATTCTTAATTAACGCAAGGTCCTGAATCGATTTCGCAAAGATCGTTGGTCGGGCTATTATCTATCATTATAGCTAATGAGTTTAGACTCAAAATTTTTAAATGGGCATAATCTGCTTCTGCCCGTCCACAATAGACCAAAATCTTTAACGTACAACCCATGAGAGCGATTATTGTATATGTTAACACCAAAACAAAAATAACACTTCAATACGAAAAAGACCATGGACTGTTTACAAACATGCTCGAAATAAGCAAAGAAATCGCCATAAATAAAACTATCCATACATAGTAGATGTTAATTTGAACATTAGCAGGCCTATCTAAAATGTGAGTCTAGATCTACATCTAGCAAATGTGATCAGAAGACACAATATAAATTTCACCATAAGGCAGAGATAACTTTATTACATTTCTCCCCCCTTTGCCGCTTGCATCAACACTTAGTCTTAATCTTACTAACCATCAATATTTCGAGATATTAAAAAATCACAATTTTTTTCTAAATATTGAAGACGTACGTATACACAATGGCGAACGCTATCATCAGTATCGTGATCTGTAAAATATGTGAAAAAAATTTGCGATTCGTTATATGGAATACCAATAGACTTTCTAGTCACATCTACGAAGTTGAAGTTTTCGTTCATCAAAATTTTACTGACATTTTTCTTCTATTAGGACTCACTTTACAAGTCGTCAGATTTTACGATCGTTTTAATCGTAACATATGCAGATGACACGGTGGACTCTTTTTTTACCTGATGATCCCATTAAAGTTTTCTATGAGTTGCAAAGAGTTCGCCTTGTCTGAATAAATATGAAGTAAAATTAATTGCTAAAATATCTATGCATGTTACGCTCGGGCCAAATGAGTGCTCTTTGCTTGGGATTAGCGTCCTTATAAGGAATTGTGTAAAGTGTATTCGCTTACATATTGATCAAAGACTAACAGACAGTATTCAGTTACACCGAATTCAATAATCCGGCCCGAAATACTTAAAAATATTTATAAATTATCTATAGTATGTGAACACGAAAACATTGCGTATTATAAGATGAAGCAATTCCCGCACTAAATTAGTAGAAAGTATATTAATACAATTAATGTAAACAAACGCCATGAAAGAGCGCAAGAGAGCGAAAAATAATTGGAATGAGCATATATTGGACGGTAATAAGGTATGAAAAACGTAATTATCGTCTTCGCTTTGCAGATGACTATGCTTTTTCTATGATATCGTCATCCACTTCTTGTCATTGACTTTCGCTTATTTTTGGGATTATGTATGCATAACAGCTGTGAAATATATCCGTTTAAATGAGAGCAAGAGAGCTATCGTTTCGAACAAATTTGCTTTGGAATTGAATGCTCAGAGTTGCATTTGCAAGAAAAAGACCCTTTAAAAAGAAAGGCAAAACGGAATCTAAACGATATTGTTTTACGTGCAAACAGGAAGAAAACAAAAACGTTTGAATTTGTGAAAAATAATAACTGACTGTTATTACACCTCTGGCGTCGTTATTAATAAGCCGTGAAGGATCAGCAACTATAAAAATTCATCACACTATTTTCGGGCGCCCTCTTGGCAACTATCCATTATTTGCAATTTATTGAAAATCACGTTAATACGCTTTGTTTCAAATTTTTTTTTTTTTTTACGGTATGAAATTCAATTGTATGAAGCAATAAAAATTTTAATGTATGTATACTTTTCCTTTTTTTTTTGTTTGTTTAATAAGGATAGAGTGGCACTTAATTAATATACACATAATATTATTTTTTTCTTGCCACAAATGTTCGATCAGATGATGATCAAATAATTTTGCCTATGATATTGTTGTTGTTTATATAACGCTGGTTTTTTATAGACAAACAAACGTCACGCTTGCTTGCTTCGTTTATTCGAAATAAATAATGTTGAAGAAAGTTACAACGATAGTCCTTTTCTTCTTCTGCGAATCTGCAGATCAACAACACGCAATTCACTGATTGATATGCTAGCAAAAGTTTCTTTCATTATATGCATATATGCGTGTATATATTGTAATTGATATACCATGTGTTCCGCATTTTCCTCATTATTCTGTTAGAAAAATTTAAAATCTACTTTTTTAAATGATGCTGCCGTGGCGGACTCAATCAATGATGGTTGAGCATTAATCCAAAAAATTTTTCACAGTGATCGTCATTCTCTTCCATTTATTCTTATCATTATATGCGTTAATTTTAACTTGAAAAATTCAACCTTTCCAACCGCCTGCGCTGCTTGGCGAAAACTTGTTGGTAGGCAGTCCTGGATCTTTAACCAATTCCGCCAACGTTCTAACTCCCCAATTTATTTCACTCAAACAAAAGTGAAGAGACTTATAACACATATCGTTGTATGGACTGTTTCGGCGATGTAGAATCTCTTAAAAACTGCATAGCGTTGCAAGGTTTCCGTTCAGGGTATTCAGGAGAAAAATCCCCCCGCCCCCTTTTTTTTCTTTTAAGATAACTTTCAGCGTCCTCCACCTCAAATGAGAAAATGCAAAATTTGAATTGAACTGTTTGTAACCTTTCATAATTGTGGTTAAACATTAGCACCTTTTTAAATAGAAAACATAGAAAATTTTTGTGAAATGTATTGAAGCATTTAGCAAACATAAAATGTAGAAATCTTTAATATTAGCGACAAAACCAAAACAAATTACATATGTTACCCTAACTTTTGTTGTACTTCTATAAGCCATTCACTACTTAAAAAAAAATGCTACATATTTTTGTTTCACAAACATTCACTACGGTGCTACGTCATATCAAAAAACCATTAACAGAATTTTTATTCATACGAGCAATGAATGAAGAAGTAATCGATTAAATCACTACGAATTAACAGCAGTACTATTGTTATTGATAAGGGAAATACAAAAAGTCCGTGAGACTTTAAGAGCTTTTATTTTGAATAAACAATTGTAACGTCTTATTGCTTATAGTTATTTATTTTAAAATACTTCTTAAGCGATCTTGTTGTGTAGTTCTCGCTAGTTTGATGAACAGCAAAGCAACGCAAGGAGATATACGAAAGGAACAAAAGAAAAATGAATAAGCACAAAACGCTATTTACGAATTCACCCAAACAATCGCGCTGACCACTCTCTTTGACAAGCTGATCATGATTGACTCAAAATTGCATTGCATTTGTTGCTCTGCGATTTTTTAACCATACAAATAGTGGGAATGAAAGAGTAAATTCATGGCTGCTAATCGATAGGGTTGCTACCGTCATCAAAAAACGCTAAAAACTTTGAGATATGTAGCACATTTTATTTTAAGCAATTTTTGGAGCGCTTTTATTATTTAGTACTCTTTCGCGGTAGCTTTTATTTTGAGAGAATTTTTAGCGACATTCTTATTCAGCTTTCTATATAGAATAGAACCTTCAATATATGATTTTACCGCATTTGGCAACAATTCATTAATTTATTCAATTAAATTTAATAAAAAAAAAAGGACAACGTATGCGCGACTCCGTGCAGCATAGAACTTGCCGGCTTTTAATAAACGTTCACTTTTTGCTCTCAACTGTATTCCGAATGCGCCAAGTTTGTGGTTTATATGAAACTGGCATAAACTGCAACTGGCATGATATGTAATTTATAAAATAAATGTCTATTGAATTCAATTCATTAAGAAGTTTAATAACATTTTTTGACCCACAAGTATTATTTATATAGTACTAACACTCCCACGCATTCGCGTCGTATGAATGTGTTTGTATCCTATGTTGTGCAGCGTTCGTATCGGATGCGTTGGTCTGCTTTCTAGCATAAACATTATATACATAAGATAGGACATTTCATTATCATTTGCGTAGCAAAATTATTAAGTTTAGCCCAAGATATCCGATAAAAACAAACGATATTCAAGATCGTAAGAGAAAGAGTAAAGAACTGAAATGATAATATTTACTGAAATTTGTGCGACAAATAATGCGTAAGCCTACACTATGAACATGTGTATTCTATACCATAATTTTTGAATAGATCTGTGCGTGAGTGTATTCTCTCTAAGGCAGAAATACTTGTGCGCGATTGTGCGTACGCTTGCCTAAGCGACTATATGTATAAGCATAAGTAACGGAATTTTCAATTTTTGATTTTTCTGTGCTTGACCGCATTTTTTTGGGGTATTTTTATGTGAACACTTTTGTATAAATAAATTTGGCTTTTTTCTGGATAATTACTATGTTTTTTACATATGTATATGTATTTATTGCAAAAAAATTTTATTATAATTATTCTCTCTAATTTCTATCATATCTATCTATTTACTAACAAAGAATGAATATTACTTTTCCTAGTCTTTGCTGCATGTATTTTTCCAATTTAGCGGGCAATTATGTTCAATTTTCCACACTACCCCTGAGGTATTGCACTAGGCGCGTTAGCAATTGTTTTAAATGACTGCTTCCCTGAAAATATTTCAGGCTTATGTACCATTACTATGTTACTGCTATACTACATGCTATGCAATATTACATTAATATTAGAGTATTCATAAAGCACAACTAATATAAAAAAAAACTTGCATAATACCTAGTACAATAAAATACATAAGAAAGAATATAACTAACCATATAAGGAACAATATATTAGTATAATTATGATAAAAAAAGTTATAAAAGAAGAAGTATTACCAATATATTAATATAGCAACGTTAATTTTTCTTATTTTTTGTCCTTTCCTGATCGCATCGTCCGCTACCAAATTGTCGGATAAAAATTTAACACTCTTAAAAAGCAACGCCTTAAACAAACCATCTAAATGACTAAGGCGATCCTTTTTGCAGTCGACGTCCATCACAAACGAGGGAAAGTCCT